GCGGTGATTCGCAGCTGTGGCCCTGGCCCTGGAGCTCTCTGACCAGCCTGTCTAGCCAAAACCATGCAGCCACCACCACCGTGCATGTCGCTCCCTGTTCTCCTCCGCTGTAGGCCCTGGCAGCCACGGTTGTACTTTCTGCCTCTGATTTTCACTATCCTGAATATCTCACTGAAGTGGTATCACGGAGCATTTTTGCCTTTGTTCATGGTGATGGTTATGAGAAGGGAATCACTCGTGTCCCAGGCTGGCCTTGAACTCCTAACTCCCCTGCTTCTGATCTCCCAAGTTTTGGGATTACAGGCATGTGCCACCATGCCTGGTAGGCTACGTCCTCTTGTTTTTGGTTTATCTTCCTTTGTTCATGTTTTAGTCTATTCCAGAATTTCCTTTTCGAGATTGAATAAAAATAATTAGAATAATAACAATAATAATGATGGCGATGATGTGTGTATGTCTGTACGCATGTGTATGATTTCCTTCTCTAGTTACCAGTTGATGACTTCCATGTTTTATCCATTATGAATAACACAGCCGAAAGTAAGAGCACAAGATCTTCAAGATGTTGAAGTTCCAGACTTGAGGTTGTTGTGTTGTAAAACATTTCTGTTTCTAACTCTTTGAAGAATCTCCTTATTGTTGAATTTGAACTTGCTTCCTTGGAGCTGGAGCCTTATCTCAGAGCTGTTAGCTGCAGAGCTGAGAGCAATTACAGGAGACTGAACCCTGGCCCAGAGGTCTCCCAGTCAGGCCTCTGGTTGCCCTCTGTACCTGCAGCCCAGTCACTCAGCTGCAGAAAGACCATTTGAGAAGGCAGCCATCCTGGGGATTTGGGTGCGATTTCAGGACCAAATCACAGACGCTGAATAATCTGAAATGCATTTCAGGCCCATTTCCTCCTAACAGTATTCCAAGGGAAGAACCCCCTGGCTCCTTCCAGGACCTTTTGGGATACATGAGTGCCCATGGAGTGGGCCTGGGAAAGGATCGCTTCCTAGATGGCCTTTTGGGTTCAAGATTTGTATACCTACTGGCATAAGTGCATGAGGTGGGCCTGTTCTTAGAATGTGAATCTTCCCCTCACACCTCTGTTTTTTTTGAGACGGGGTTTCTTTGTGTAACAACCCTGGCTAACCTGGAACTCACTTTGTAGACGGGGCTGGCCTCGAACTCACAGAGATCTGCCTGCCTCTGTCTCCCGAGTGCTGGGATTAAAGGGCCGCTGCCACCACCACCAACAGGCTAGAGTGTGGTTCTTATTTTTATTCTTGTATTTCTGGTTTTCTTTCCCTTTCCTATTTTTATAGAACATTCTCCTCCCCCACCCTCCCCACCATCTGTTCTAAGAGCTGGGAGTCAGGGCAATCTTTCTTATTATGAATGGAAAGTACACTGCTGTTCCCTGCGCTGTTCCGGGCTACTGTCTCCCCAGCACGCTCCTCCACAGCCCAGGAATGTGTAGACTAGACGGGCCGAGTCAGCAGTCAGCTGCCGAGAGACAAAACACACAGGGTGATGTCGACTGGCAGAGCCACACAAATGCTCTGGAAACCTGGCCTGGCTGTTTCTCCCTCCTCAGCCTCCTCACTTCCCCTGCTGCTTTCTGCCACACCTTGGTCTTCCCATCCGTAGGAGTTCTGGCACTTGCTGGCCATGTTTCCTGGTCTCCAGGTTCCTGTGACTATGAGTGTCGATTTTTCCCAGCATGCTAGGATGGGTGGCACAATGGGCAAGGAGGAGACAGGAAGACCGTGATGCCACTTTGACCTTCAGGACACAGGGAGTGACGCTTAACAGGATAGACCTGTGTGCCATTCTTCCTGGCCATTCTCAGTGTGAGTCATAGTGCTGGACAAGTGCCCTGGGGAGTGAGACGGTCCCAGTGCAAGCATAGCATAGGTGTGCGAGACAGCGCTGTCCAGACAGTGCTGGCAGCCCTGGGCTGTCTTGCTGCTGTGCTCACCTGGCTCACAGATGTGGAAAGGGAAGGCAGCCCAAGGGACTCTGCCTCGTGTAGTCTTACCCTGGGTGCCTGTTGCATTGTTCCGAGAACCAGCCTACCTCTGTTTATCTGATGTCATTAGTGCCCCGTAGGTCACGATCCCTTAGCCAGGGCACCTAATACTTGCCTGTTGCTCCAGAGCGGACACTCTGTGCCCTTTGGGGAACTAGGCTGACCATGCTCATTACAGTAGCATTTTATACACTCAAAGAGGGGACTGGGAGGGTTGTCAATGAAGGTGTGCAGCCACGACAACGGGGCATTGGTTTGGGAATGCCCCGGGGTGGTTAGCAGCTCTGGGGAAGGGAAGATTCACTTCAGAGTAGGCTGTACTCGGCCAAACGGATGTCATCTCTGTGGCTAGAGATGTGCTTTGGAAGGTCTTGGCCAAGTCATAGGGCAAGTGTGAGCACAAGGGGGGCTAAAACTGAGAAAGGCTTTAGAGATCTGTGGTGTGGGCTGAGCTTAGTGTCACACACCCCAGGGAGGCAGAATCAGGTGTTTGTGAGTTCGAGTCTAGCCTGGTCTCCATAATAAGTTCCAAAACAGCCAGAGCCAAATAGTGAGACCTTATCTCAGAAAAACAAAAGCAAACAAAACAAAAAGAAAAAGGAAAGAATTATGTGGTATAAAATCTTCAGTATGCTGGATTCAGCAAGAACTACAAGGGTCTGAGAACATTGAATCCTGCCAAGAGGTACTCAGTGGCCGCCGATCAGGAACAGAGAAAAACAGTTTTCCTTCTTGGCACAGGTAATCAGGCCAGGTATGTGCAAAATGTGCAGAATGTTGCGTTGTAACACTGGTAACGCTAAGGTGGTTGTGGACATGGTAGGGTATGGGGGTAGGGACTGGAAGGGACAGGGCAGTGCCTGTCCTCTAAGATCTGTTTACAGCCATCGATGGTTCCTTGCCACCCTTTCTTCTGCCTCATCATAAAGGCGTCTGGATTTTTCTGCTCTTACAAGCTGTCTTTTGACTGGCTACCACTTCTAAGCTAAGTCTGGACTTGTAAGAAAAAGAATGGGCTCTTTATGGCCTTCAAAATATTGTGCTTGCTGCCATGGCCTAAAATAAACCTGTGTTTAGGGGAGGCCGGAGGTTGGTTCTGATTAATCCCAGGATTTCTTTGATTTTTTTTTTGCGTTTCTTTTTCATTTGTGGGTCTGGGGGTGGGACCCAGAGTTCTACCTATGAGGAGGTGCTCTGCAGGTCAGCTACAGCCACCATTCATTTATGATCGTTATTTTAATCCTGTACTCTTGGCCACATGGCTATCGAGACAGGCTGTGCTTATTAGTAATGTGACTCTTTTACCATCCCGAGCCAGGAGGGCTGTTGAGTAAGTCACAGTTTTGTGGTTAAAAAAGCCAAGTCAGTGTGTATGGTAAGAATCTTGAACTCTTGGGCTTGTTTTCTCTACCGGGAAGCAGGAGGGGAACTGCCAATCACCTGTCCTTCCCACCTCTTCTTCCGAAACCCAAGATGCGGCCTCAGGTGCTTAACTTAACCCTGTGACGTTTCAGTAGGATTCAGAGAAAAGCAGAGCGTCCCTGCTCTACTGAGGGTGTCCTGCTGCTCAGTAATTTGTCCAGAGAAACAGCTTCACTCAGTCTTGGGGTCATCCATGTCATAGAATTTAGGACCTGTCTCCGAGAAGTGGGTCTATCAGCCACCGGCTTGAGTCCACCCACTAGCCAGTGGGCTGTTCCTTGAACTCGGTACTAAGTACAGTGCATCTTCCTAGCTCTTTCCATCACCCCATCCCCGAGTAAGGCTTCTTCATAGCAGAGCTCTACCCGGTCTCACTTATCCCAGAGGCAGCTGCGGTGAGCGCCACCAGTGTGCTGTGGCCAGAATTATTCTGCTCGGAGGACTTCAGGCTCCAAGAACTTCCAGGTCATCATCCTTCAAAGCTGGAGTCCTTCCTCCTCAGACCTTCCGAAATGGGAATTCAGAGCTGCCGGAGGAAGGCTGAGTCCTGAGGGTCACGCAGCAGCCAGGGCACTCCAGGCTGGGGGGGGGGGGGCGCCCTGCACTCCCTGCTGTGTATTTCTAAAGAGCAGGTCCAATACAACACAACCCAACAGAGATCAGGGGAGGAGCAGGTACAGGAATAGGGAAGGTTGCTGTTTCCCACCCATTCAGGTGTCTGTCTGCACATGTAAGGAAGCACTGGTGGGGACTGGTGGGGACTGGTAGGGACTGGTGGGGATGTGGACACACTATGGATAACATTGTTTTTATCGTAAAGCATGTGGGGAAACTCGACGGCTATAGACACAGCTTCCGTGTGCCATATGCTGTGGAAGCCTGTGTGAGTCTTATGTGCCAGGTGACTCCGGTGTATCTCCGGCTTCCTAGTTGGCTCTGACTTGGCCCTTTGTCTTTCTCCGGACCTCTCTTTTCTTATCGTAGTCTTTAAAGAGGGCACCCCACAAGTGAGTGCTTATGGTTTTAATCTCTTGGGTTGCTGTAGTTTCATAGTGGCCTCCATCAGAAAACTGGTAATCATTTTATTTGTTTGTTTGTTTGTTTGTTTGTTTGTTTTTTCGAGACAGGGTTTCTCTGTGTAACCCTGGCTGTCCTGGAACTCACTCTGTAGATCAGGCTGCCCTCAGACTCAGAGATCTGCCTGCCTCTGCCTCCCTAGTGCTAGGATTAAAGGCCTGCACCGCCACCACCCGGTGGGAATAACTTTTGACTGATTTGTATGAAACCTCCCACCATGGGACAGCGGCGTGACTTCCCTGTCCAGTGTCCCATGCCTTCCTTGCCTAGCTGAACGTCTCTGTAGCCCCTGAATTGCCCACGGTACCATTGTCTCCTGTGATGCTATCACCTGCTATGCTGTCAGCTCCCCAACACCCATCAGTGCCTGGAGGGTCTCCGGGCACCTCTGGCAGGGATGCCACTGCTGGGGAAGAGGCATGTCTCCTGGGAAAGGCTCATACAGGGAGATGCTGACCATATCCTTTTCTTCCTTGTTCTCCACTAGATTAAGGTGACAGTGCCAGGTGGATCAGCGGCCATTCCACTGCCCCCTCCGTGGGGCTGTGCCAAGAGTAGGAGAGCATGGAGGAGAGGAAGCAGGAGACAACAAACCAAGCTCACGTCCTCTTTGACCGGTTTGTCCAGGCCACCACCTGCAAGGGGACCCTCAGAGCCTTCCAAGAGCTCTGCGACCACCTGGAGCTGAAGCCCAAGGACTACCGCTCCTTCTACCACAAGCTCAAGTCCAAGCTCAACTACTGGAAGGCCAAAGCCCTCTGGGCCAAACTGGACAAACGGGGCAGTCACAAAGACTACAAAAAGGGAAAGGCGTGCACCAACACAAAGGTAAGCCACGGTGTTGTCAGGCCTGAGAAGAGGATGGAGGGAGAGCCAGGCCTCAGGCTACCTGAAGGGGTTTAACTCTGTTATCTGTGTTCATGTGACACATCTGTCCACCAGGCCTCATTCTGAGCGGATGTCACGTATTCAGTTATTGAACGTTTGGTTTGAGGACACATGGGTGGGAACTTTTTATTTTCCTGAAGCCCCCTCCTCCCTGCCTCACACTGTTAGGAGGATGCAGGTCCCTTAGCAGCGGCATAGCCAGGGCCATAGGAGTATCCTATGGTTCTTGGCCTGTCTCATTCCCAGAGTCGTCCTCCATACTTAGCACCTGGTAAGGATTTGTCACAAGCGTCAGGCTTCTTCCCATGGGTAGTCCAAAGGTCTGCTGTACTTCACAAACAGGGACGTTGTGAACTGGAGTATTCCTGTTGCTACCCTCACAGTATAGGAAAAACAGTTTCCTCGTGAAATAGGGTTGGGCGGAGATGTGAGATGCGCACTCACCTGAGTGGGAAGAGGAGTGAGGAAGTGAGAACGTGGGCTCACTTGGGTCCGGACAGCAGGGAGGCGCTGAAAGGGACAGAGGCGTCTCCTGCCTTCCTCTTTGAAGAGCTTTAGGGAAGTTTAGGTCAAGTTAGGAAACAAATTTCCAGTGGCTTCAGGGCTATGTTATTTTGGCTTTTCCTGACTGTTAATTTATCCTGTGGGACACCTAAAAAGCCTACCCCATGGAGAAATTTAAGATCTGAAGGCATAATTTTCATGAACGACTATACTTTAATTTAAAATAAAGTCAGGGAGTTCATTGGCAGACTATTTGCTTCACAGGCCCTGGGTCCCCAGCCTCAGCATCCCCTTTCTCCCCCCCAAAAAATCACACACACACACACACACACACACACACACGCAGAGACAGAGAGAGACAGACAGAGACAGAGAGGGCACAAAAGAGATCTAATACAAAGTCATAACCTTGTGTCTTCCTTCTGTTCATATAGCTCAGGCTGTTTAAAGTCAGTGTCCCTCTTCCCCAAGTGCTTCTGTAGTATGGGTTACCAAGAGCGTTTCCCTCAACTTTCAATCTAGAAATGATCTTCGAACTCTTACCGGGGGCTGGAGGGCTGGCTCAACAATTAGGAGCCCTCGCTGCCCTTGCAGAGGACTGGACTAGAGTGTCCAGCCCCACACTGGGTGGCTCACAGTCATGACTCCAGCCCCGGGAGATCTAACGCCTTCCTCTGGCCTCCTTGGGCACCTCCACACATGTTGACATATAAACACATGTTGTGCGTGCGTGTGTGCGTGCATGTGTGTGTGTGTGCGTGTGTGCGTGCGTGTGTGTGTGTGCGTGTGTGTGTGTGTGTTACTTTTTTAAACAATACAAAACAAACTTCTAATCATAGGCCATCTGATGCCCCCTCTGATCTCTGCTGAAGAAGTTAAACGGTGTACAGACATACACTCAGGCTCACAGACACAAGGTAAATAAGATAGACAGATAGACAGACAGACAGACAGACAGACAGACAGATAGATAGATAGATAGATAGATAGATAGATAGATAGATAGATCGATCAATCTTTTGGAAAAGTCAAAAGACTTTTCCATATATGAACCTTTGAAAGTTGCCTCCTGGGAGTCATTTACGAGGTAGACTCAGATGTGATTGCCTGGATATAGCTAATAATCTTTCCTTTGGACAGCAACCTGCTTAAACTTCCTCTGGGTCCTGTCTTGATGAAAGATGAGGCGTGATTTTCATGCTGTTTGTCGAGATGATGACCCATTTATGTTTGCTGATCTATGGGTTCTCTGGGCTGCTCGAAGCAGACATGCCAGGGTTTGACACTTCTCTGTCCAGCAACCATGAGTTCTTCCTTCAGCTGTCGCAAGTACTCTGCTGTCCTAGGCAGGCTTCAGGTGTCTTGGTCCTGGAGCATGGCCCTGTCAGTGAATGTTTTGAGAGGGGTGGTCTTCGCCCTGAAAGCAGCTCTATTTTTCAGTGTCTCATCATCGGAGCTGGCCCCTGCGGTCTCCGCACAGCCATCGACTTGTCCTTACTGGGAGCCAAGGTGGTGGTCATTGAGAAGCGAGATGCCTTTTCCCGAAACAATGTCTTGCATCTCTGGCCCTTCACCATACATGATCTCCGAGGTCTGGGTGCCAAGAAATTCTACGGCAAGTTCTGTGCCGGAGCCATTGACCATATCAGTGAGTAACACCAGCTCTTCTTGCTCCCTTGTTCAGTAGACAGAGACAGGTGGGTTCACTGGGGAATTCCTCCTCATCCAGGACCTGCATCTGCTGCCAGTGTTCTATAATCTGGTGACCTCAAGTAGGTTTAAAGGTTCTCACTTGAGGGGGAAGGGGTGGCTGGAGAAATGGCTCAGCCGTTAAGGGCACTGACTGGTCTTCCAGAGGACCCAGGTTCAAATCCACCCACATGGCACAACTGTCTATAACTCTAAGATCTGACACTCTCACATAGACATACATGCAGACAAAACAGCAATGCACATATAATAAAGGTAAGTAAATTTTTTTAAAAGTGTTTTATTTTGTTTGTTTTTTTTTTAAATATTAATTTTTTTTTTTTTTTTTTTTTTTTTTTTTTTTTTTTT